TACGTGACGTCACACACTCTATAACAAGCATAATATAAAGTTTTGTATACAAGTGTAATAATAGTAACAGTTGCAAATTGTTTTATTTAGACTATGTCTATGCTAATTCACAAATTACCTCAAACACCATACACGCCGTTTGATCCTTTAGATTGGCAGGTTTGAGTGCAGGAAAATACAGTACAGAATACAGAAACCAAATACTACATCGCCAATCTGGAATCATTTCCATTCATGTCACCCATCCACATTTGTACAAGTGTGAGAGTGAGAGCTGTAAAAATAGTTGTAAAAAATTTTTTTTGGTACTTATACCGCACGATAAAGATGGCTCTGAAGACAACAAGATGCTGTGCAGTGCCAGGTTGTGGAAAAACAGAGTCTTTGCTTCTGAAAGTGTGAAAGTGATGTGCCGTTTAGCCAAGTATGGTGTCCCATACTCGGAATTCGTGCTCTCCAAGGGCACACACACGGCAGTGAGTAGTGAACACACACCCGGAGCAGTGGGCTGCGGCGCCTGGGGAGCAGTTGGGGGTTTGGTGTCTTGCTCAAGGGTCTCACCTCAGTCGTGGTATTGAGAGTGGAAGAGACCGCTGTACATTCACTCCCCCCACCTACAATCCCTGCCGGTACCGAGACTCGAACCCACGACCTTTGGGTTACAAGTCCGACTCTTTAACCATTAGGCGACAACTGCCCCCAACTCTGATCCCAACATTAGGAAAGAGTAGATTAACTTTATTAGTTTACAAACAAGGCACAATTCGACACAGGATTTTCAGAAAGATTGAAACTAAAAGGCGATGCTGTGCTGAATATATTGGATCCGACAGTAATGTCGCACCACACGTGTGAGTAACTGTTTTTATTACGGGGTCACTATTGCTTTGTCTGTTATTACAGATTGTTTGATATGTACTGAGTATTTATGCGTTTTTAACCTAAATCACAGCAGCGTCCATCTATGAAGGATGTAGGCTGTCAAACATGTAAAACAATCATAGCTTTGGGCGTTTACTTCCGAGTCTACAATCTGCCTATTCAAACAAAGTGTTCTGATGAGGGGGGTCAAAACAGGACAGAAAATAGCCTATTACTTCTAAATGATGATGTTTTTTTATGTAAAAATCTTAACATTATAAGTGGACCGCAGATTCTTCATTTTTAGAAATGTCCTTTCCTGATTATCGACCAAATGAGTCAGAAGAAAAAGCAGCTTTTAAATCTGCATGTTCAATGCCCGTATTAATCAATATTTTCTGAACTGGTTGTTGTTAGTGTTCTGGGTGGTTATTATCCATTCCAGACTGAGTCTGCAGAAATATATCAACTCATGAAGTTAAAATAACTCAGACTGCTAACAATATCATATGGCAGTACCATACGTACATATCATGGAAGTGAATGATTATTCAAATAGCATGGTGTTCAAACCAATACAATAACAAATAATAATGACAAAAAACTGTAGTACCATAGTGCTTAGTTTTAACAAACAAATCATATGACAGGTACTAAATGATTACCATATTCACATACAATGCTATGGAACGAAAGGTATATGCCATATCATGGCATTTACTGAAAATAAACACTGTATTACTACCGTACCATATCCAAAATAAATAAATAAATAAATAAAAAACCTGGTAGTACCACGGTACTTTTTCTCATCAGAGACATCAATATAGCTTTTTCTTATTTGGGTTACTGTAGTTTACGTTACTTAAAAAAATGCCATGGTCAAAGTATGTTACTTTAAAAAATGCCATGGTACAAACATAGTAGTATCAATCATGACATTTTTTTCTGCAAAAGCCATCAGTTTAGTTTTTGTTTTGCTGGGCTTATGGAAATTTCCACTACAAAATATACTGTGGTGATACTATGTATCAGATGATAATACCATGGCATTTTCATGCTACTCCAAAGTACTTTTAGTAATATCACACTATTGTCACTGTGCATGTACATACTATGTACTTATTATAGTGATTACAATAACTGTGTAATAACTAGGTACTAACCCTGGACCTACCCCTAAACCTAACCTTAACCCATGTTGTTACATTATATTACTAGTACTAGTACTACATTGTAAGTACATGTAAGTACACATACTGTAAAATAAAGTGCAACCATTAGTAGTAGTAATTGTGGGTACTTTATTGTTAGTCATGGCAATACCATGGTACTGAATGATTACTATATTCATATACCATGCTATTGAAATTATACCGAAAGATACTTAAGAGAATATCATGGTACATACTGAAAACAAAACATTGCATTACAATGGTACCATGTCCAAAAAACATGTGGTACTTTTTCGTTAGTATCAACAAACAATTTTTGTGGTTGAATCAATTTCACATCAATTTGGCTTACTGTAATTTAAATTTGCCAAACATGATACTTAAGAGTATTATTATTATTATTATTATGGTACATGTAAGTACATTAATTTAGTTTTTGTGTTTTTGGGCTTATGGAAATTTACCCTACAAAATAAACTGTGGTGGTATCATGGTATGAGGTGATAATACCATGATATTTTCCTTGGTACTCCAAACTACTTCTAATAATATCACAGTATAACTTTTCTACATGTGCAAGAGCCATGTTAGTAGCATGGTAGTTTTGGGTACATGGTAATACCATGGTACTGAATGATTACCATATTCATATGTCATCCTACTGAAATTATACCTCAGAGAATATCATGGTGCATACTGAAAATAAAACATGGTATTACCACAGTACCATGTCCAAAATAATAATATCATGGTCCTACAGTACTGTGTCCAAAAACCATATTAGTAGCATGGTAGTTTTGAGCACTTTTTTGTAAGTCATGATACTTTGACATGTACAGTACCATGGTATTGAATGAATACCATATTCATATACCGTGATACTAAAACGATACCAAAATAAACTTTCTTAGAATATCATGGTATTACTACCACAGTACTATGTCAAAAACAACTGATTAAACCATGGTACTTTTTGTGTAAGGAAAAATAGCATTCCCGACCCCAGTGCAAAAAGAGTGAGTCTTAGATACCCATCTCTTGGCTGCGGGCCGCGGCTCTTAGCACTAAAGCTAATAGGAGCGTTCCTTTTATCATGATGCAGGAACCCGATACTGTGGATGAAATGTGGGGCACGAGCAGCCTGCGCTGCTCTGTCAACCAAAACACCTGGCATCACCCTACCCATGTCAGCCGGTCAGCTGAGGAAGGTCATTAGCCGTGTGTGTGTGTATGGAGTAATATGGGTCTAAATTAAGCTTCATGTCATGTATATACGCGTACACACACGTACACACACG